CGTGGCTGGCAGCAGTCACTTCGTTCCGGGGATGTTAGAACAAGTTGGGAATCATATGCACAGATGTGCGAGATTTGTTTTGGAACAAGAGCAAGCTATTTGAATGAAACTAAGGAGTTATTCTTTTATACAATTGTACTAGTACATAAGTCGGAGCATGGCGAATCGGTGGACTATATATATACATATATATATATATATAGCTGCCATAGGAACAATCGGACGATTTATAGCACTTTGATCAGTAATAACCTATAACCAGTAATTAACTTTTAGCAGTTAGAAGCTATGAGCAGTAAGTATCTATGAACATTAAATAACTATGATCAGTAAGTATCTATGACCGATAAGTAACTCTGAACAGTAAGAATCTATAAGCAGTAAGTATCTATGACCAGTAATTAAGTATGATCAGTAAGTATCTATAAGCAGTAAGTATCTATAATCAGTTACCAACTTTGAACACTAGTAAACAATGACTTGCAACTTTTGTAACACAACACATATCTGATACGTGGCTGGCAGCAGTCACTTCGTTCCGGGGATGTTAAAACAAGTTGGGAATCATATGCACAGATGTGCGAGATTTGTTTTGGAACAAGAGCAAGCTATTTGAATGAAACTAAGGAGTTATTCTTTTATACAATTTTACTAGTACATAAGTCGGAGCATGGCGAATCGGTTGACTATATATATCCATACATATATAGCTGCCATAGGAACCATCGGACGATTTATAGAACTTTGATCAGTAATAACCTATGACCATTAATTAACTTTGAGCAGTTAGAAGCTATGAGCAGTAAGTATCTATGAACAATAATTAACTATGATCAGTAAGTATCTATGACCAGTAAGTAACTCTGAACAGTAAGAATCTATAAGCAGTAAGTATCTATGACAAGTAATTAAGTATGATCAGTAAGTATCTATAAGCAGTAAGTATCTATGATCAGTTACTAACTTTGAACACTAGTAAACAATGACTTGCAACTTTTGTAACACAACACATATCTGATACGTGGCTGGCAGCAGTCACTTCGTTCCGGGGATGTTAAAACAAGTTGGGAATCATATGCACAGATGTGCGAGATTTGTTTTGGAACAAGAGCAAGCTATTTGAATGAAACTAAGGAGTTATTCTTTTATACAATTGTACTAGTACATAAGTCGGAGCATGGCGAATCGGTGGACTATATATATATATAGCTGCCATAGGAACAATCGGACGATTTATAGAACTTTGATCAGTAATAACCTATAACCAGTAATTAACTTTTAGCAGTTAGAAGCTATGAGCAGTAAGTATCTATGAACATTAATTAACTATGATCAGTAAGTATCTATGACCAGAAAGTAACTTTGAACAGTAAGAATCTATAAGCAGTAAGTATCTATGACCAGTAATTAAGTATGATCAGTAAGTATCTATAAGCAGTAAGTATCTATGATCAGTTACTAACTTTGAACACTAGTAAACAATGACTTGCAACTTTTGTAACACAACACATATCTGATACGTGGCTGGCAGCAGTCACTTCGTTCCGGGGATGTTAGAACAAGTTGGGAATCATATGCACAGATGTGCGAGATTTGTTTTGGAACAAGAGCAAGCTATTTGAATGAAACTAAGGAGTTATTCTTTTATACAATTTTACTAGTACATAAGTCGGAGCATGGCGAATCGGTTGACTATATATATCCATACATATATAGCTGCCATAGGAACAATCGGACGATTTATAGAACTTTGATCAGTAATAACCTATGCCCATTAATTAACTTTGAGCAGTTAGAAGCTATGAGCAGTAAGTATCTATGAACATTAATTTACTATGATCAGTAAGTATCTATGACCAGAAAGTAACTCTGAACAGTAAGAATCTATAAGCAGTAAGTATCTATGACCAGTAATTAAGTATGATCAGTAAGTATCTATAAGCAGTAAGTATCTATGATCAGTTACTAACTTTGAACACTAGTAAACAACAATGACTTGCAACTTTTGTAACACAACACATATCTGATACGTGGCTGGCAGCAGTCACTTCGTTCCGGGGATGTTAAAACAAGTTGGGAATCATATGCACAGATGTGCGAGATTTGTTTTGGAACAAGAGCAAGCTATTTGAATGAAACTAAGGAGTTATTCTTTTATACAATTGTACTAGTACATAAGTCGGAGCATGGCGAATCGGTGGACTATATATATATATAGCTGCCATAGGAACAATCGGACGATTTATAGAACTTTGATCAGTAATAACCTATAACCTGTAATTAACTTTTAGCAGTTAGAAGCTATGAGCAGTAAGTATCTATGAACATTAATTAACTATGATCAGTAAGTATCTATGACCAGAAAGTAACTCTGAACAGTAAGAATCTATAAGCAGTAAGTATCTATGACCAGTAATTAAGTATGATCAGTAAGTATCTATAAGCAGTAAGTATCTATGATCAGTTACTAACTTTGAACACTAGTAAATAATGACTTGCAACTTTTGTAACACAACACATATCTGATACGTGGCTGGCAGCAGTCACTTCGTTCCGGGGATGTTAGAACAAGTTGGGAATCATATGCACAGATGTGCGAGATTTGTTTTGGAACAAGAGCAAGCTATTTGAATGAAACTAAGGAGTTATTCTTTTATACAATTTTACTAGTACATAAGTCGGAGCATGGCGAATCGGTTGACTATATATATCCATACATATATAGCTGCCATAGGAACAATCGGACGATTTATAGAACTTTGATCAGTAATAACCTATGCCCATTAATTAACTTTGAGCAGTTAGAAGCTATGAGCAGTAAGTATCTATGAACATTAATTTACTATGATCAGTAAGTATCTATGACCAGAAAGTAACTCTGAACAGTAAGAATCTATAAGCAGTAAGTATCTATGACCAGTAATTAAGTATGATCAGTAAGTATCTATAAGCAGTAAGTATCTATGATCAGTTACTAACTTTGAACACTAGTAAACAACAATGACTTGCAACTTTTGTAACACAACACATATCTGATACGTGGCTGGCAGCAGTCACTTCGTTCCGGGGATGTTAAAACAAGTTGGGAATCATATGCACAGATGTGCGAGATTTGTTTTGGAACAAGAGCAAGCTATTTGAATGAAACTAAGGAGTTATTCTTTTATACAATTGTACTAGTACATAAGTCGGAGCATGGCGAATCGGTGGACTATATATATATATAGCTGCCATAGGAACAATCGGACGATTTATAGAACTTTGATCAGTAATAACCTATAACCTGTAATTAACTTTTAGCAGTTAGAAGCTATGAGCAGTAAGTATCTATGAACATTAATTAACTATGATCAGTAAGTATCTATGACCAGAAAGTAACTCTGAACAGTAAGAATCTATAAGCAGTAAGTATCTATGACCAGTAATTAAGTATGATCAGTAAGTATCTATAAGCAGTAAGTATCTATGATCAGTTACTAACTTTGAACACTAGTAAACAACAATGACTTGCAACTTTTGTAACACAACACATATCTGATACGTGGCTGGCAGCAGTCACTTCGTTCCGGGGATGTTAAAACAAGTTGGGAATCATATGCACAGATGTGCGAGATTTGTTTTGGAACAAGAGCAAGTTATTTGAATGAAACTAAGGAGTTATTCTTCTATATAATTTTACTAGTACATAAGTCGGAGCATGGCGAATCGGTGGACTATATATATAAATACCTACCTACATACCTACTATAGGAACGATCTACATAAATTTTAATACTATATTAAACTGGTTCTAAGAAACCTTCTAGTGCTTGGATTTACCTCATCTTTAGACAACTCTCCCCTTGCACTCTCTAGATGTATATATATTTGTATATATGTATATAGTATTCCCCTAACCAAGAGAATAATTATCCAACCCTTCACTGGGCATCCCCCTCTCCACCGATCCAATAAAAGCCAAGTGAAATAAATGAGCCAAATTAACTGGTCACTGCAATTTCCCCCTCATCCTCCGCCTTTGCCTTGGCCAACCGATATTAATGCAAGAGTTTAAGTGTTCCAAATGACGCTGATAATGGGGCCAACAGGGGATGATGATGATGATGATGGTAATGATAACGTTGACGATGATGATGATGATGATGCTGAGGAAGGACAAGCTGGGGGAGCTTAATATGTAATTTATAATTTTGATTGCGCTGCCAACGTTGACATCGAAGTCAGCGTCTCTGTTTGCTGCGAACTTAATCCGCAGAGAAAAATGTTGCGCGCCCTTATTAAGGCTTTAAATGCAGCCACCGACCACCGACAAGTGCACAGTGGATGCTAAGAGATAATTATTAATAAATAACTAAAAAAAATATATATATTTACACTATATTTTAAATGTAATTCATGGCTCATAAACCTAGAATCACAAAGGAATTCTTTGATTCAATATAAACCTTATTATAGTTAAACTTACTGAAACTGAACTTTTCCTGAGGGTTTAAAGATATTTTTCTTAATAAAAAATTGCTTATATTAAATGCACTAATTTTTATATGATAAAATATACTTATTATGATCATTTTCCTATCATGTCATCATTGAAGAATTGTGCCTTAATTTCTGAAATTAAAGATTAAATAATTCAAGAAGCCAGGATATTGAAATTAATTAAAACAACTGAACTGTTCGTAAGATCTTGTCGATATTTTTCCTTAGTAATATAGAGGCGAATAAGCTTATTTTTAATCGATAAATTATATTACTTAAAATTGTTAATCTATCTGAATTTAAGCACTAAATTATTCTTATTCTCTTTTTTTGAAACAGACGAAAACAACAGAACCTAACCTTAGCCTTTTACGATATTTTCATCAATAAATTGAACTTTCCCAATTTGTAATCCTTGATCTTTATCTATTCTAAAATTTCCAATCTATAATATATAATAAATAATTCTTAAATTGATCAATAACTTCAAATCCATGGAATTAGCAAAAGTAAATACTTACTAAAACGATTTGCGACTTAACAAATTTTCCATTCGATTTCACGTATTTGCCAAGAAATTTTATGCAGATTGGTTAGCATTTTGTAGAGTCCTGCGAGTCCTTCTGCTGCCAAAAAAAAAAACCCTTTAAGTGTTTGCATTAGCTGGCGAGAGAGAGAGAGAGAGAGATAGAGAGGGAGAAAGAGGCGTGGTGCGTCAGAAATTAATGGAGCGTAATTTATGAAAATTATACAATTGCCAGACTGGCCACGCCCACATTGCACACTCACACACTGACACACACACACACATATATATATATATATATATATATATACGCATCAAGGAGAAAGGATGCTTAACTTACAAAAATTTCATCAAAAGGATGAGAGAAAGAGCTGAGTAAAAGCAGAAGAAGCTGGCATCTTCTGCTTACTTTGCCAAAAACTTTATATGAGAAAGTTTGAGTCAAACTGGGTGATGGGGCGGAAAGGGGGAGGGGATAAGGCGGGGAAAAGTGGGTGAAAAATATATGGGGTGGGCAGCAGGTGCAGTGCACGAAGGATACAGAGCAGCTGGAGGGGTGGAAAACATTTTATTAACAGCAGACATCGTCTATGAAAAGCTTAAAAAACAAAATTAATTTAAATTACATATTTGCCCACAAAACAATGCCTGAGAGGGAGGGTGTGTAGGGTGTGTGTAGGGTGTGTTTTCTAGGTGCCTTGTTTTTGTTGTTGCCACTGCTGCTGCTGCTGCTGTTGTTTGGCAAAGAAAAAAAACCTCAAATTATACACAAATTTACGATGTTTTGCTAAGCTTCTCGGCACTTCCTCCCCTTCTTATACACTTTTTCCCCCGCCTGTTTATCAGATGCTGTGCCAAAAGCCATAATAACAACAGCAAGTAACATTTGGGCCACGCACAAACGCAACACAAATCCGAATGAACAAAAACAAAAACAAAAAAATAATGTAGAAAAAAATTTAATAAAATTCTTCAAGTCGAAAACGAAAACTGAATGCAGTACAACCGGAGAGAGAAGCCATTAGGAGAGTGATGGAGGATAAACAGAAGAGGTGGAAAGCCGGAAAATTCAATTTGTGGAAAATAATTGCCTTGAGAAATTACTTGGAAAATTGTAGAAAGTTTGAGGAAATAAATATTATTAAACATATATAAATTAATATATAAAATATAATAATATAAATGAATGCATTGAGAAATTACTTGGAAAATTGTAGAAAGTTTTTGAGAAAGAAGCTAATGGGGAAGAAATATTTATATAAAATTAAATATATATAATGTAATAATAAATATAATTATACCTTATTAAAAACCACCTAATTTATCAATTAATATATTAATACTAATATTACTAGTACTATTTATAATACTAATAGTAATAGCAATTAAACTGATTAAATAAATACACGCCACAAAATGGTGGCAACGCCAATCGCCAAAATGTAAACAAATAAACAATGTTTCAAAAAGCCAAACTTACTCGAAAATTAATACAATGTTAAGAAGATCCTATTGGAAAAAGATTTAAGTTACTAAGGATCACGTTCCGAATAGTCTAAATACAAGAAGTTACTTACTCTACCTTTATTTTGTTGATTATTAGTAAACATAAACAAATGCAAAACAGTTAATTTTGTCATCATATTTGGCGCTACTCTGGCATTTTTGCCAATAAGTTTTCAAGGAATTTGTCTTCTTTGTAGCCTTAACTCTTGATATTCTTAATTTTAATTATATATCTGTAAATGATGGTCTATATTTAAAAAGATTTATAATTTCTGAAGAGCGTATGTTTATTATTTTTCCTTTTAAACGAGTTAAGTTGGCTGCGCCTTGTTACGATATTTAATGGGTAATCGATAATTAAAACTAAAACTATAAGTATATCAACTGCACACTTAAATATAAATGTTCACACTAAATACTACTTAACATTTATGAATAAATATCTATATAGTTAATTTAAATTAATTTCAAATTAATAATCTATATCTGCTATATCTAAAACATTATTAGTGAATTCTACAATCTCACTTAATAAATTTAATTAAATATAACCTGTGACATTTGGAGCTCATTAGCTAAAGTATCCCAACAAAAATATAGGGTGTTCGTGTGGGTGGAGTTATTTTTGTTTTTGTTTCTATTTTTTTTTCCTGAACAAAAGCAAAAGCCAAAAAAAAGTTTTTGAAGCGGAAACACGGAAATGTTTTACATGCACGCGCATAACGAGCGAACCCCCAAAAGGGGGGAGGTGATGAGGTTGAGATGAAAAAGCGGTGAAAGTGGGCTGAAATTGGGCGGTGGGTGTAGTGGGTGTGAGAGCGAAAAGACGAGTCAGCTGCTAAGGGGGGAAAAATGAAGAAAGATGAACACGGTTCAGCAGCAAAGTCATGTCACTTGTTTCTGATGCGACTTTCTTCGCTTTCTTCCACCCCCTACATATATATAAATATACCTTTTCTTTTCCACGCTCTTTGGAGAAAATTTCCAGGAAATATTCAAAAAGTCGCCACAGAAGTATGCTATGGAAAATATCGTTTAAACACCTATTAGCTAATGTCAAGGTGTGGTGTGCACAAGCTTTATAAGCATATCTACAATAAATAATATATTTAGTAACACTTTTGGGCACATTAAATATTTTTCTATATAATAAATATTAAGTCATCACAAAAATACCGAAATATATCGATTAATGTTAGGGTAAGTCCCTCGTCTAACTCTTTCCTAATTCTTATTGTTTATTGACAATATTAAATGCTTTTCAGTAAAGCTGTATGAAAATATGTGTAAACGAGGCTATTACTTATATTTTTTTAATATTTTTAATTAAATATCTTTATTTTGTTCATCACTAGGCATTTCTGCTGCATTTAACAACACTGTTTGGTAAACAAAAACAAAAGATAACGACGTGAATTTCTAGGAACCTCAAGTGTTTTTAAATTTAGAAGTTTGGCATCAATTCTTTTTGTTTAAAGTTCACTGCTATATAAACCAATTACAATTACTATGTGTGTGTGAAAATTAACAAGAAAACTGGCGCGCTTGCGCAGAGATGCGGAGGAATAATGCAACAAAAAAAATTCAAAAGCATACATGTGGAATTCTAATAATGTTAAGTATACTGTATACATATATATTATATTAAACAAAATTAATTATATTATATATGTATTTCCATAGGTCTGTAAAGAGGTGGCGTTTATGGTGGAAGGTACCAAGTTTTAAATATAATATTTGAAAGGAAAGGCTTGTTCGTCTGTGATTAGTAATATTATATATATATTTCATTTATATTTATAAATTAATTTTATTTACAGAACCCAAAGAACCTGCTCCATCCCACTGTATCACTGCCTGGAATAGGTACATATTTGCAGAAATGTTTTGGCCAACACCACAGAAACCACACGAACAATAACAAAATACAAAACTTTATGACTATTATTTACCCGAATCTAAACCAGCTGGCGAAGAAGAACAAGAAGAGCCACAAGGGGGTGGCAGAATTTTCACCATTTTCCTCCCCAAATGGACCAACACCTAGTAGCCGTGTGTCAGTTAATTAGCTCATAAAATATGCAGAATGGCGAACAATTCGCACCTTTAGACCCGAAGAGGAGCTTCAAAAAGGCTGAGAGCTTGAAAGGCATTCGGGGGAGGAGGAGGAGGAGGATTTCAGGGGGAAAGGGGGATGGTGGGTGCTAGGTGTAAATGGGTGTAACCAAATGAAATAATTGAGTGCCAAAGCAGACACAAAAGGAAATTTTCGGTTAAACATTTTGGCGGAGAAACACAAATTCAGCGACCCGAAAGATGCCCTAATTTGAATTATAAATATGATATAAGCTATGACTTTTAATATTAATTAATATTTTTAAATATAAAAAATTAATTAAATCTAGAAATGTATATAAATATATAATTGCTTTAATTAGGATTACATTTATTGTTATTTTTTAAAGAGGAAAAACCATATCAAATAGTACAAAATTTCAGAACTGTCTAAGATTTAGAAATGAAATAAAACAATTAAAATATTTAGTATTTATATATAATACTTTTTTATTAGTATTCAAGAAAACAAGTCCTTGTTTATAATATTTTATTTATTTATTAATATTTTTACTTTTACGTTATTTTTAAACCTTTTAAAGGCACTCTCATAACATTGTCTCTGCTTCCTATAACAAAAAAATAATCTACTTTATAATTACTAAACATAGGATATATATAAAATAGCACAAAATAATATATATGTATATATGTATGTGTTTATTTTCCCCTGACAATTCAAGTTATTGTCGCCATAATGTCGCAACTCCTTGGCAAGGACCCAGCAAAAAAACAAAAGGACAACGAAACGAGTTGCTCGCTCGCTCGTGTTGCTGGTGGTCATGTATGGCAGATGAGCGTTTGTAAAGTTTATGAACTTTGTAATTACACACTTTATTAATTTATGCGCTGCGGGGCGCGAAACGCACCAACTTCCTAGCGAATTAGAACGGAAAAGCGGAAAACACAGGACGAGGCAGGAAAAACGCGCAGCCAAAGGAACGTGTTAATGCTTTATGAGACACCAAAATGATGAAAACTCGACTCCACAAAATCCCTCATCAGGCGGCTTGACTTTTTAACCTTTTGCCTGACTAATTTCAACGAAAAAAAATAGAAAGGAAAACCAAAAGAAAAACCCTCAAGGAAAAGCCAAAAAGTAGAGAGAGCTGCATTAGTGGCTAAGGAATTTGGGATGCGAATGTTTTGAAATTTTAATTTGCAAACGTGACTGACCAATTGGCTGGGCCAAGGAAAAGCTGAAAGGAGGCAAGAAAACCAAGGAAAAATAAGAAAAAATTCAAGGAATGCGAAAAAAAAAAAACAATTTTCGCCCCAGAGAAAAATGGGAAAAAGTCCGCAGTTTTACAAAAAATACCTCAAAAATTCTGTTTGCTATATAATATATATTTTAAGAAAATTAAATGTGTATTGAAGTCAACTTCATATAAAGTATATATATGTATATATTCCTATTATATATTTAGAAAATTTTGAAAATTTAGATAATATCTAAATCTCAGGGTTT